AGAGGAAGCATGAAAAATGAGAGGGGCTTAAATGAGGACATAATATGCATGATGGATAGATAGATGTGTGAAGGATGAACATAAGATATAAGGAATAAATAGGATAATAAAGAAATAAATTACCTCGAGAGCCTGCTATATCGTTTTGCCTAACTATCGTTCAGTGCTATCAAACACCCTCCCCTCGTTCTATGTTCTCATCTATCTCAGGATCCTTATTAAATAAATCGATCTGCAGCTGCTGCTTGTTATAATATATGCTATGTTGGAGTGGCTGTGTATTATTATTAGTATTAGCATTAGGTTTGTTGTTGTTGTTATTGTTTTTATGACTGTGTAATAGTCGCCAAGAGTGCATCTTGCACAAAGCAACCACAAATAACCCATTTCACTCCAAAAATATCATCATCAATCTAAGATGCTGCATAAATCCTCCATTTGTACTAGACCAATACATGTTCTCAATATTTTTTAATGTTCGCATCTTTCATAGATACAATTGATCAAGACGTTAAGCGAAAGCGAAGAAAAGATGTGCATCATTGTGAGAATACAATCGATGAGATTTGTAAGATTCGCGAAATATCGGAGTGACGAACGTGATCGAATGAAGAGCATCGAGAGCGAAAACAAGGATTGATTCTGAATGTTACTAGAGGATATCCACGACAACGAAAACGACCGCTCGAGTGATTAATTTCAAGAAAATGAGAAGACGAATCAACTGGAAAAAGATATCATGAAAGCTAATGGCGAGTTCAAGAATAGGATGGAAAGAAACATATTTTGATATGTAGCAATGTTGGTTGGAACGAACGTTCGATAGTCTGATGAAATTCAGGAAGTTTCTAATGTAAGTTACAGTTCAAAACATTTGTGCTGACAAAGCGCTTGCTATTCCATCAACTTCCAGCAGTCCACACAAGGACACATGTCAGTATGATCTGATGCACGTGCACGCTATTTTTATCAAGTAGTCGGATGAGATCTTACAATTAGTCTGCAAATGCAGCCTGTCACATCAATGCTAACCGCTTACTTTGCCAAACCGTTCGGAATATTAATCACCCTTTCCAGCCCAGCATTGGTATCCCATGAATAGTGATGTCTCTATTCAAGTTAGGATATTCTATTTCCGTTCTATTCTAAGGAATAGAATAGAATAGTTCGCAAACGAGGAACGCACAGAATAGAATAGAATAGTTGTTTTTGAGCCCAAAAGAATAGCATGGAGCAGTTCTCGAAAAAAGGGACGCGAGAATAGAATAGAATTGAACAGTCATTAAAAAACGCACAAGATAGAATGGAATAGCCGTTTTAGGGCGGAAAAGAACAGAATAGAACAGTTTCTAAAAAGATGTTATAGAGACATCACGAACCATGAAACCGAATGTACTTACGACAATTATGCCAGAACACTTTTTCAAACTAAAATGCACTCAAATAACTATGAGTTATCACCTCCGATCACATCAATTATCAGAGGTGGACCATCGTTTTTTGAATAACCCGTGCATGGCCCTCTCAGCCATGCTTCTCTTCAGCATCACACTTTCTCATAACATTTCCTTTTTCAATTGCTGATCGCTGACACGGCATTAATTAATTGACTGCTGTATCCTCTCTGAAATCAGTCACTAGAAAACATGCGCTACCCACTCTCCAACACACAGTTGCAGTTCTATTTTGCTGATTGAAAATGCAGTCACTGCATTCGTTGTTAATTGTGCGTTAAAGTAGAATTATCATTTCGTTCCTCAGTTCCCTTACAGTAACTTCAAATCCACTCGATCCAGTTCTCACCATCGACTGACAACTATCGTTTTTTCCCCTAAGTTCTAAACATCCAAAACGTCATTTCTGTCAGTGATGCAAGTAATCAATAGTCACCCAAAGTGAGATAAGCAGGATCTTGTTTCTTCAGGATGTTCTTCTTCCAAGCTATTTTTTCCAGGAGAGAGGGAGGAACATATGATATTAGTCATTCAAGAACAGCTGAAAAAGTATAGAAACGTGAATTAGCTAAGACACTGATCATTGTAACACAATAGTTTTGAAATTACAAGGACGGAGGAGCGAGGTTCACCCACAAACCCTCACTACATATGACGTTAGTTATCTGGACCAATTGACGACTGATCATTCGAAAAAAGATGACCTTTCGAGGCACTAACGTAAATAATTAAACGAAAAACCAAATGAATCGCACAAACACAAATCACTGATTTATTCATTATATTTTTTCTGTTACCAACAATTCATCGACCCAATCAAATCAACACAATACACAATAACATTCATTTCATACTTAATATGAGAAAATAAAAACTTTATTTATGCAAATAATAAGCGGCGTTTTTATGCATTTAGAGATGAGCAAAAAAAAACAAAGAATTGTCTAATTAAAATGAAATACGAACCAAATTTAGTTTGAATAAGCATGAGAGAGACAGGGAGAAAGAGAGATGACAATCAAATTAGATACTCGACGAAGAAACCCGCACTTCATTCGGTTCACAGTTTCAAAACATATTCATACGAAAGTTTACAGGGTGTGCGCTACCATACAATAACAATAATGATAATAATTGTAACAATTAATAATAATAATAATAATAATAATAATAATAATGGAAAGGAAATAATAACGGTGATGAAAATAGTACAATAAGAGCAGCAATAATTATTCGATGGATCAGTTCAAATCACAATTATCAAAAAAAATTAAATTAAGAAAACAAAAAGCAATCACTGGTCAACTAATCACGAACGAAAGCAATAAGTTTTTCAGCACGCAACACACCAAAACGCAGCTATGTAATCGTCAACCATAAAAGTGACAATTCAATAAATAATCACTTGCATCAAATCATCACGAAAGATGACTGTTATGCATGCGAGCAGAGTAACATTTGCCCATATTCTACTACTCTATACTCTACTGTGTAGTATATGAAAGCAATACAGTATACAACAAACTTTTTTATAGTATGCCGAACAGACTAGCGTTCTACTCAACACAACCACACACAAAAAAAGAGCATTACTCATAGCGCACCCTAAACACAATTTCTTCGCATATTTCAACATCAAAATGATACTACTACGGACATTAATTTCCTTTTGTTACAAACAGGCTCATTGAACAGATATATTATGATATTAACTAGACCTTTAACATCACACCTTTCAATTCTACTGTAAACATTTCAAAACTTGTAAAAAATTACAAGAACGAAAAAAAACGACAAAAGTGATGAGCGAATTCATAGTGGTGCATAGAGTGAAAAGCAACTGAAATAATTTTGAAATGGGAAGAATTGTCACGCTAGGATAACTTATATGGGATGATATAAACAGTTATAACCGACAACAATCACTGCTGGTTATGAATTTCGAGAACAATTCTCAATTGCTTTCGTTGGATCACCTTCCGTCTAACTTAGAAAATAGATCCGTAGAAGCTCACAATGAATCTATGCACTTAGCAGCTCCTAAAAACACTCATTCACCAAAAAATGTACAAATACTGGGAGAAATGCACGTAATAATAGTAACAGTACTGATAAAAACTGCAGTCCGAATTAAACAAAAAAAAAATACAATCTCAAGTCCACCTCAATTCAATCCATTCCCTCACTGAAAAATTTCTTCCATCACAATCCCATCCCTCCTCTCAAATTTTCCCACTGACTATCACGTAGTACAAGCCCATTCTTCCCTTCAGAAAAGTGAACCGCTGCACTTCTCTGGATTAACAATATCGTATATAATTATTACTAATATAACAGTAATTATAAAGTAAAATACAATAAAATCAGAGCAAAGGCAGTGAAACTATTGATGTCAATTTGTTTGATTAAATCAATGAATAATTTACTACTGCTTCACAAACAACAACCTAACCGTTTTATAAATGTTTACAACTCAATTAGTTTTTGAAACAGCCACTAGACTATAGAACAAGTACTGAATTCTACAAAAATCATCCGCCCACAACGACTGCATCGCTCAACAAAGCAATAAACTGATGATAAACAAACGAATGAAACTGAAATTTGAATCAAAAACAAGAAAAAACCATTACAACAAAATATTATACTCGATAAAACTTTAATAATATTTTACATATACAAAGACTTAGGTGATAAAATAAAGACGAATCTAGTAAGAGAGATGCATTAGACAAATGAAAACTTTATTGAACCAGATTTAAAATTATAGTGGAAAATTAAAGTGATGCTTAGTAATCAATGAAAATTTTTTAATAAAATGCTTTGAAGTAGGCTAGGTGGATTTCCAGTAATCAGCAGATTAACGCTTTAGGTGTTCAAATCCCTTGTCTTTGAATCTTCTTTTTTCCCATTTTCAATAATCAAGTCACTTTCAAGAAAGAGTGGAAGAATGCCAATAAGGAAGCAACAAAAAACAGTTTCTATGGTCATACAGAAAAGCATAGATGATCAAACGAACGAGTATACAATAGAATCTGATGGAAATGTATCAAAAGCAATGTGCAGCTGTGTTCCAGTTTGAACTTCATCAACTTTTCATCGATGAATCTTACAAGCAAAATGATTTGCTTGAACATGTTGATAAAAGTAAACACGACTAAAGTACGATGAGAACGATAACGAATGTACATAAAAGAAGACGTAAAACGATCACTTGAATAAAACAAAAACAATCATTTGAGTCAAATGTAATACATGAAAATTGTTTGAGCACTGGCCGTTATCAGTGTGTGATTGCATCAATCAGCATGATTTCAAAACGAACTGATTACTGTCAAAAAGTGACGGGAACAAATAAAATTAAACAGAATTGGACAAATCAATGAAGGCTCATAATTTAAAACATGCTACTTACCAAATGAAAAGACAATGAATACCACTAAAAGTTTACAAGGGACGGAGAGAATCGAATCCATACAAGCATTTACATATTATATATAATGACAAGATATGATGAGATATTGAACTATCAAACCATATCGAATGCTATCGTGAAAGTGTTGATGCAGAGCGAGGATCTGTAGTTGACTGAGTTGACGAAACAACCCCAGAATCAGCACATTCTGTTAGATGAGTAACTGGCTGCTCCTCGAGTGGAGCGAATAAATACAGTGGTACAGTTCTGCAATTGCAAACCACACATATATTACAACACTATGTATTTCATCAAAAAATCATTCCAACTTAACCAACTGACTGTGAAGAATTAAATGAATGCAAGATTTACCTATACAATGCATCCCTTGCATCTTGTCTGCCCAATTCTTCAAGTACACTACACAAACGTCCAACTGTTGCCGTTTCAGGACACTGCAGAGCCCATTCCGCCAATAATTGATCCGTTCTTGAAAGACTTTGTCCGGTTGAATCAACTTCTGGTAACTGATCTGTTAACGATAACTTCACCGCTAATATCGACCTAAATTCATCATTATTGATGGTTTATCCGTGACTCGGAATGAGAATAATTTTACAAAGAGTCACACAAATAACAGTATGTCAACAACAAGAAAAAACGAACCAGTCTCTACCCATCGCATCCGCTGGATCCAGTAAAGCAGCTAATTCACATCTAGATGCTAACTGCAATTGTGCAACACCCACGTCGATACCTAAAGTTAAAACAGCGGCCACATCCCTCGATCCGAAACAAACAACATCCGTGAAAAGTTCTTCGCTTTCTTGATTATTACGAATTGTTAACGATTCAGCTTGCTGCATTGCCATTATTGTTTCTGGTGCATATACGGCTGCATTCACAACGTGTTCCTGGAACGTCAAATATTTAATTTATTCGTTCAATTCTATCTTTTGTTTCCTTTTCAGACAAGACGAATAATGAATAAGATAATCAATGAATAAGGAATTATTCCGATTTTTGAGCAAGATTCCAATTTTCAATGACGGATGACTCAAACAAGGTATTCTTCGACAAATTTGAATATAGTTTTTCTGGGTTCATTTCAGAAGTGGCATTGTAGATGAACGAACAATTCAAACAGTAACGCAACTTAAATGAAATTCAATCATACAGATAATGGACCTATTTGAAAACGAATAAAAATAACCAAAAACTACATACACGTAAATGTTTCGGTGAAAGGAAGTGACGTTCAAGTGAAATTCCTGGTGCGACTTCTTGGGCTGTTTGTTCGACTAAATTCGTAATATCTTCGAGAAAGTAGAAACATGAAGTGGCTAATTCACAAGGGCCCCGAACTTGCACCTCAACCGCGTCACCATGTAAACGAATCAACGCTTCCATTTGACCCGAACTCATTTTACTACATGCTAACCACTGAACTAGATCAGCATCCATTGGATCCTATAATTCATTGATTCTAACTGAATCGCAACAATAATGATGTTTCAATTGAAATGCCTCGAAGCACTGATACATATATATACCTGAAAATCATGCATAGATCTACGTAAAGCCACTTGTATACGTGGGAAAGTACTTTGCAAAGAGCGTTCCATGCCTCGCATTGGAAGTACACGTACACCACCGTACACATATGAGGGTCGATCGCGAAGCCACACATCTCTGAATTATTCGTCGAGATGAGGTTGATTCTAAGCATTGATAATGCGAACAAACAGATGAATAAATCAGAAACGGGTGGTGACAAACACAGGGATGGTAAAAAAAAACAAAATTTGAGATGAAACATAAAACAGAAAAACATGAAATGAAAATGAAAAAAGATAAAGAAATGAAATGAATGACGAACGCACTTGGGTGGATCTAAGACATTGAAGGCTGGAAATTCGAATTCAGCTTCACCATTTGAATCGCTTGGTGCACACAATTGTAAGGTATCAAGAATATGTAATAAATCAGCTGGTTCCGCAATTTCCGGATAAATTGGTGTGAAATCATCAATTGAATAACATCCATTTATATGACATCTTGACAGAAATTCAGCGGATAGTAAATTACCAAGAATATGAGTGCCTAACCATTCAGCCGACAAGACAACATAATCCAACTCGGACGTTTCATCGCGAAGGTAAACAACCTAAGTGATGACGATAAGTGAATTGTCTATTACTAATGAAAGAAGAACATTTAACATGAAATATGGATGAGATTCAACAATGGTGGGACACATAGTACCATAATTGTTATTATCAGCATCATTATTGATACGCAAACTATCATTGTGCATTACCATCCCAACACCGAGGACTCAAATCATCATTCAATCGAGTCATAATACAACCGGTGAAATGTTTAATTTTACTGATTGATGATGCATAACAAAGAAACGATAGGGCACTTACCTCACCAATGAGCTGAAGTTGCTGTATCAACTGACGACAATGGCTATCGCCAGCAAGAGGATTAACATCGTTACGAACAATCGTTGTAAAATACGGCCATGTGATCACTGGAAAATGCGCATGCTGCTTACGCACACTTGATAAGTATTGCACGCACGTATCTAACAGTCCCATTGGCTTTTGAAGTCGCTAAAAATAATTTTAGCATTTCACATACTTTATAAACTTAGCACAAATAAGAATATTTATTGTATAACTTCATTAGGGAAGGAAAAAAATAAAGAGAATGAAAAAATAATAACGCGAAAAAGGCAAACAAGATATCTTATTCTTTTAAATAGTACAGCCTAAGCCAAAAATAAAAACATTGGGCTTATATTCAGAAGAGGACGGTGATTATTTATTGAACATATTCAGTGCGAATAAATACCGCTGAGGAACGATAGCAAAGAATTTGGCGTGCACATATTAGAGCAAACTTCAGTGATATATA